GAAATTTTTGCAAAAATCAGAATTATCAGATTAAACTTTAGGACTTGTACACAAATCAATTAAATTATTTCAGAAACTAGAAATGTTTCTTTGTAATTTTTATGAACACTATTGTCTTAAGAAAAAAGTTTTTTGAACTTTTACAAGAATTCACAATTTTTAAAAATTAGAATAATTTATAAAGTTTTAAATTTTAAAATTCTGTTTTGGTGATATTGTTAAGTAAAAAAAAAAATAACTATATTCACTGATCATAAATGGATAAAACTTAGTACAATTCATTTTAAATTTTTCAGATTACTTCGTATTTAAAAAAAAAAAAAAAAGGCTTTAAAAAATATAATATAATTTTCTGAAACATTTATAGAAGATTAACTGATTTAAACTTTAATTAAAACAAATATTACATTTAGTTTTAAATATCACAGAAAAGCATTTTTAAGATGAATGTGGGTTTTTTATGAAGTGGTATGAGATTTAGGTAAGAGGAAAATTTTTTCAATGCTGTATTTCAAAACAAATTTAAATTGATTAAATTTTTTTTTAAATCACTAAAAACAGACATGTAAACAAATCTAACACAATACAGAAAGTATTTGCTTATTGGAAATATTAAATTTAATCTATTAGATTGGAATTAAAACTAAAATAAAAGCTTCAAGAAAGATTTTTTATTTTTAATATGCAATTTAAACCTTAAGTATCATTATTTGGGGTGGGAGGTATATAACAGTGGGCTTAGGAAACCTATTTTTCTGAAAAATTGTTTTATGAGAAAAACTTTATGAATTTCAACAGAAAGTAGTATTGGCTACTAAGTTAATGCTGAATATTTCCACATTAGGAAATGGTTACTATTACCATTAGACATATGAAGAACAGATACTACACTTTGAGCCCAGTTCAAAGGCCAAGGAGTAAAAAAATAACATAATTTATGTAGCAGTGTCTGATCAGTCAATAAATGTCAAATGTTTCCCTATAATGAAACTGCTTATATTGCCATTGAAAGGGTGTTCATTTGTTTTCCCTTTATAGTATATTTTGAGGGTTGGATTATTATGGCAACTAATGGGTATTATTAATATTGTCTCCTCATAGAACATTAACCAGTGTTATGGAGGAATAATGGATAGCAGCTTGGATTGAGGAATTGGAGTGCCAAGTTCAAATTCCATTTGAATCCATTACATTCACTTACATGCTAATACTCTTGGGAAAGGTATGAATCCTCTTCTTCTCCCTCCCCCAGCTATAGATAAATAGCAGCACAGGGCAGGTTCTATAGCCTTGGATGGCAACTGGTTTACTACAGAAAGAAATAGCAACCTACTGTGGGGAGAAAAAGAATGCCTCGTCAATCATGTATCTTTCAATACATGATCACCTAAGCCTGTATCATGCATGGCACATAACTGACATCTTGGATAAAAAGGTGGGATTACCTGCCCTTGGAAAGAGTTGAACTCTGGCAGAAAATATGGGCACCATGTATTGCATGAACTTCAACTACAGACTTGGATAGCTTTCCTTTCTGATAGTATTCAATTCATGATGATATTCTTTATTCTGTTAGGTTGCCTACTGTAGTGAAATAATTAGCAAGCTTGTTATACAGACCTATTCATTAATTTCAATACCTCATTAATGATGTAACTAAGTTTAGTAAATAACCATTAACTTTTTTCTTCTTTTTAAAAATATTAATTTTCCCTGTATATTTACAGTTAGCTTATTTGCTTTAATAAACCTTCCCAAAATTATTTTTATTGAAATGATAATCCTTATGAAAATAATTTACTTAACAAATTCAACACCAAATGATGTTGATTAATATTTTCTATAATTTACCTTTTAAGTTCCAAACAATGTTGATTATGTAACTTTCCCTTGTTGAGATTCACACATTGTCTTCATTTAGTCCTCTTCACACTGCTATAACTAATACATGCTTTCCAGTGATTTTATTTCATCTTGGGAGAATTCCCATCATTTTATTCTTAGCTTACACATGTTAGCAAAAAAAATATCAGAGCTGAATGAATTAATACATTTATTTTATTAGTGACAATATTCTATAGCATTGCAAGTTCAATTTGGGGATAATCAAAGTCATTTTGGGATGAAGCAAGTTCATAATGGGACATAGCAAATTCATAATAAGCAAGTTTGAATTGGGACTAAGCAGATTCATTACAGACTAGGCGAGTTCAAGTTGGAACAATTTATCTTTTTCCATAAATAATGATTGGAAATTGACTTTTTTAATAGTTAAATAGCAGTGATACACAGCCTACTATTATTACAGTGTGTCATCACATAGAAAACATCTAACAAAGAACGAGTCTGAAATGAAAAGAAGTCAGATATTGGCAGCATTTAATTCAGATAGACAGTGGAGACAGTTGGTGGAACATCTTGGAGTCCCTAAATCTACTGCTTATAGATGGACTTTGGAAAGAGAGAAGTTGGATAGGAGAGGTGGTGGACGATATATAAAAAAAATTCTACCAGTACATTGAGATTACTTTGTTGAAGAAATTGAAACTAATTGCTGATGTAGCTTGTCCGATTTGAAAAGAGGCTTGTTTGAAAGATTTAATGTAACCACTTTCACAGAGGCCATAAGATATGCTTTTATATACATTGAAAGATATCAGGTACGAACCAGAATGGGGGAATTCTGTTGAAAATAAAGCAAAAAGAGGTGAATTCGCAAGCACTTTATTGGGCACCCAGAGACAGGAAAGTTCTATATTATATATGGATGAAACAAATTTCAACTTTCACATCACACAGTGAGAGGGCAGATCAAAGAGAGGAAGTCTATGCACAGTAGTTTCTGCTGGTTCAAGGGGCGCCAACATACATTTGATAGGATGTATTGGCAATCAGAGCCTTTTGCACCATATAATTAAATGAGACTCATTCAAAAAAGACGCCTTAGAATGGATTAAAGACTCTCAGAAAGGTGTTTGCCATTTATGAGCAACCAGTAGTTTTGGTCATTGACAATGCATCATGTCGTTCAGGTAGGGAACACATACTGACTGGAGAATTTAAAGAACACAAAATTATAAGGCATAGGGCTATATGGAGCACTGTTAAATCCAATTAAGCCAGTTTGGTCTGTAATAAAATCAAAAGTGAAATCATTATTGGCTGAACAGATTTCTACACTACAAGAGAACCTTGTGGGATTCAGTAGAGTTGAATTTAGAGCACGAGAACTTGAAAACATTATTCAGAGCAGAGTTGCTGAAATTTCAAGTGGATTGTGCAATAGATTCATTGCAAAGGTTCAAACACTTATACCAAATGTATTGAATCTTGAAGATGTACAGTTGAATAAAATTTTTCCTTGTTTAAAAAAAATCGTTGTTTCTTTATGATTCTCTCTTTTGTATTTTTTCTGAAATATTTATGATTTAATTTTAAAACATATCCTATATATACTTTTGTGTATAATTGCTATATATCATATCAGGGTCGTAGAAATTGAGGGGAAGGGACTTCATCACCCTGAACAATTTTCTGGCTCTCTCTCTCTCTCTATATATATATATATATATATATATATATATATATATATATATATATATATATATATATAATGACATATTTTCAAATATCAGGAGATGGTTCCTGTGAATCTTTGTCAAAGCTCCAACGAAACAAATCATAACTGTAGAATATTCTGGTATATATCAGGACTTTTGACATCGTTGGTGGAAATTTATATCAATTATGCCATTTTTACTAAGCTATTCATGTTTCAAACTTATCTGCACATTTCAATAAACAAATATCATGGATTAAAACATCGACTGGGCGGTAAATCATATAATTAAAAATCGGAGCGCAGTGTTGCGTATATTTTAAATATCAATTCCTTACAAGTGGCTATTCTTGAACAGATAAATTTGTGTCAAAGTTAAAGTTTCTGGTACTTTCATTGGTAAGTCAATCAGGAAGAAGAAAGAAAGATATAGATCGACTGTATATAGTGTTAAAAAAGAGAGAATAAGAGTTATTCAAAATGAAATGATTTGGGGATGGGGACAACAGGACAAGTCTGAAAAGTTCTAAGAAAAAGCAACAAGGAAATACTGAATGTATACATCAAGACAGTTTGAAAAAGATATAGTGAGAGATTTTAAGCACTGAAAGTTACATCCAAAAAACATACTCCTTTCATGAATTTTCTTGATTTATTAATTGCTCCTAGAAGATAAAACATTTCAATAATAACGTTTCGTTGAACATTGTTTTATGAAAATATTTAATTTTAAAGTCTTTTTAGCAAAATAATTGCTCAGTTGCAAATTGAATTTGCCTAATCCAATTTGAACTTGCTAAATCCCAAATCAAATTTGCTTATTCTATTTTGAATTTTATCTATTTCATTTAGAATCTTCTTAGTCCCATTTTGAATTTGCTACGTCCCATTTTGAACTTGGCTAATTCATTATGAAATTGCTTAGTTCCAAAATGACTTTTAAATGGTATAGAAATCTGAATATTAACATAATTTTTTTTTCTTTAACAAGAGTTTTTCATTTAATTAGATTTAATAATTCCTTTAAACTATTTTATCTGATGTAATTCTTTTGTTCTATCTTTGATCCATTTTCTTGGATAACTTTTAAATTCCAATAGCATTTATTTTGATTTTGTCATTCTTCTGTCTGCTTATAATACTATAGACATTTGTATTCTCTTATACCTTTTGTGAATCAGACTTGATCACTAAATTACTCTATAATAAGATTAATACAAGAATGGTGGCATTCACAATATAACTAGCATTCTCTTAAAACTGGCTTCCTTTGAACATTTCCTGTATATTTTTTTTATTATACTTGTCATCAAATGATTCCACTTTAGCACATCACTTATTTCTTGCCAATTCTTTCAAATCAGCTTTATTTTTCTTTTCATGTGTTTAATGCTAGATTATTTTATCTTTGGGGTCTATCTTACAATTTTGTTGCTTTCTTTTCTTTTCTTTGTCTCTTTCATTTCCTCTTTGTCTCTTTCATCCCCCTCTTTGTCTCTTTCATCCCCCTCTTTGTCTCTTTCATCCCCCCCTCTCTCTCTGTTTCTGTTTCTATCCCCCCCACTTCCAGCTGGAGGTTCAACAATGACTCACACTCAGAGCTATTTTACTTATCTATTTCCTCCCTGCTTACTGCTTATTTAATTAAATTTCATTATAGTGCCATTTTTGTTTGTTCTTTTTCTTTTACTACTTCCCTGTTCTATCTACACTTCTCAGTTTATTTCTTTCTTCTCTTCTATTTAATAAACTTACACACTCTTTATGTAACATCATGTCTACTGTTCTGGCTTAGTAATATCAAAATATTTGTATTATAAAATTGTTTTTGACTCTTAAATATGGTCCCTTTAAGACATAAGCTGTCATGGATTTTCACAACTTCCTTACTTTAATAATATCTGAATTATCATAACTTCTTGGAGAAACAGTGGAGTGGTTTCCTTATGCCTTTTCTATGGTTCTTTGAGTTTACCCATCTGTTAAAATGATTGCTGCAAAAAAAACAAAACAAAAAAAACTACAGAGCCTATTTTGCTTATTTAACCTGTAGCTGAAAGAAAAATAGTTATGCCTTTCCTAAGAGCATTAGTGAAAAGTGAACATAAGATTTGGTCAGAAATTGAACTTTGCTTGCCAATTTCATTTTTCAGCATTACACAACCCATAAAACTATTTTTTCTACATTTTTGATATTCTACTAGTTTATTTTCTTATCTTTAGTAGTGCTGTTTACTCAGCTTATAAAATGTGACTGTCTACTTATTTTTTGTTCAGTAATACAAAACATAGTTTATGACATTTATCATTTTATCTGCAATATTATTGAATTTGTAAAAAAAGAATCTTTGACATTTTCATCTGTTATTTAATAATGTTAATAAATGTTCATACTATCATTTTTTTCCTCATTGTCATAATACTGTTTCATATAATTGAATTAAAACCTTTCATTATTTGACTGTATCACTTCCCATTCAACTGCTGTGAATCATTTGTTTTGGAAACTAATACAAAACTGAAAACACAATTTCTTTTGTTTTTCTCATTGTTATTTAAATTGTTTTAAAGTATTTTCATTGCATTATCATATCTGTCATGCATTATTATCATGTCATTTGATAAGATCACTTTACATCTGTAGATAGTATTTTCATGGCATCACTATTGTCTTTATTGCATATTGTTTATATAATCATGTGTTTGTATTGATGTTCAGCATTTTCCTTGTATAAATCTTAGATTTCTTTACCAACTTCTATGTCTATCTATTTTTTAAAAATTTGTCTATAGCATTACATTGTATCTGCCTGTTTGCTTGTTGTATCATTTTTATATCCTTTCTGAATAATGCTGTAATATCATTTTCATGTTATCCATTTTAAATTAAAAATGGCATATAGAAAATTTTGTTGCTTGATTATTTGTCCTTTTACATTCATGTAATTTAAATATTGATTTAAAAACTGATAACAAATTTAAAGCCCTGTTAATTTTCTTTTTTATATCATTTTTGTTTTATTTATTCAAACAGTTTTTATATTTTCTTGTATCTTTTCATCTTTTCTGGTTATAAATTCTTCAATGTGACATTATTACTACTGAAAGAATATTTTACAAATCTTGGTAATGAAACCTGAATACAAAGCCTTTGATTCAGTGTTGCTAAGGGGGAAAGAATTAACTTTTTTACTTAGAGCTGCTAATTCATCAATTATTTGTTCAGTGGACACTCTAGGGTTATTCTATAGGTAATGTTGATCTTACTGATAAGAAAAAAGTGGAAGTGACCAAACAAATGGAGATGAGATGTGGTTGAGATAAGTAAAAGGTTTTTATTTCCCATGATTTACAAGGTTTGATTGTTCCTGGATATCTATAAATCATAGGAGAGTGAGAGTTCATTTGTAGTGTAATACAAGGTAATAAATGAGATACACATGGAGAAAATCAACGTGTATATGTAGTGGGGAGGCACGGTGGAGTAATGGATAGCGGGTCAGATTGAGGAATCGGAGAGCTGAGTTCGAATTCCAGTCCTCTTCTTCTCCCTCCAGCTATGGGTAAATAGCAGGACAAACTGGGTTTTATAGCCTTTAATGGCAACTGTTCTACTGCAGGAAAAAAATCTGCCTCGTCAGTCATGTATTGAAAGATACATGATCGCCTAAGCATGTATCATATCACTACATATCAGTCAGTTATGTGCCATGGCACATAACTGACTGATATGTAGTGGAATGAGATAGACTTTTGGGAGAAAGTATTTCATGAATTAGTATTGTTAGAGGTTTAGAATTAGTCTCTGCTGCTGGTTTTGTTGCTGGTAAAAGGTATCACTATTGATAAGTGACTTGGTGTCAATGCTGATGGCCTGGTTAAGCTTGCCTGTCTTGAGGTTCGTTGCTGATGCAAGCCTGATCAAATTTTCCTTGATGGGTGAAAACAGCATTGGCTTTATAGTCGGTCAGTGCTTCAGAAATAGCTACTGTGAAAACCGTTTGCTTTTTCTGATTAGTCAGAAAATGTGCTTTATGATCCTGATATTTTTGGACAGTATTCCAGAAGAGGGTATATGATCCAAACAAAATTGTCTTTTTGTCATATGAGCTGTGGATGTCGAATTGAGGACTTCTATTTGATTTAAAGGATTGAAGATCCAACAGGGTGCAACATATTACTATCCTACACTTTCATTCTTAAAATATTTGTTTATGGCTTTTTTCACACTTGTTCACTACAGTACTAGCCTCAAACTCTCCTTCATAATGGCATGTAAAGTTGACCTAGGAAGATGATACTTACTGACAATCTTGTCATACCTTTCACTATTATGATACAACTTCATTTCTAAGGGTTACACTGTGTTCTTTTGTCATTGGTATTGTTACATGCATGACAAAAAATATATTTATCACTGAATAATATATAGTAAATTTTCTAGAATAACCTTAACAATTCAGTGCAATAGAAATACAGTTGTCACGCCTTAATGTTTTTTTGGGTTCTTTTATCATTTCACTCCAAGCAAGACAATAATAGCAAGGGTTTATTGAGAGTAAAAGAAATAGGACAATAAAAGAACAGAAAATGGTGATTAATGTTGCATTTAAATTTTTGAAGTTATATATGACAAGAAAGCAAGAAGCTGTATTCTACAAGAAAGAAGCAAAAGAGAAACTCTTAGGCTATAACTTAAGGTTACATTTAGCAATTTCAAGAGTAAAATGATGAAACTTAACTGCCAATCTAGTACTGCTCTTACAACCTCTACTGTTGTCTGGTGCTAAGAATTAAATGGTAAATTAGAAGCGCATTGACAGTAATAATGACACAAAGAAGAAAATAAAAGAACACAAGATTTTTTGTAGCTATACAGATGTTAGAAGTGTGTGTTAAGCAAATGATTTTCTGGTTTTATTTTACTTTTGCATTATATAATCAAATATAATGAATAATTTGTAATGAGGACATGGAGCACTAACAAGTGTTGCTGATACTTAGGGGGTTAGATGTTTGAAGCTAAAACAAATGAGATTATACTTAATTGGCAGGTTCAGCTATAAAACTATTGAAATTGATCATAATTATATCTATAGTCAAAGAAACTTGTAAAAGAGTATTGTTACCAATGTCAGATTAAGTATCTGAAATTGTATAATTGTAAATAGGTTTCTTATTTATATACAGACTATTGACCTCCTTTTATCCCAATTTTTCAGGTGTTGTTCTCTCCCACTTTCATCAGTTTTTGTTGGTCTGGGTAACCTTCAGGGAATTTTGAATTGAATCCTTTATTTAATCTAAGGCAGTAGATTGTTCTCTTTCTGCTGACAATATCTATGGATATCTCATCTAGTTCAAATTTAGTCACTAAGTTATTGTTCACCTTGTTTCTAGTGAATCCCAAGGATTGAACTCAATTACTATTTTACCAAATTCATGAACCAATGACTTAATCCACTAGGGTATTGACCCACAGGACAATAAAAAGTTCAGTTTGAAATTCCCTGAAGTGTATATATATATATATATATATATATATATATATATATATATATATAAAATTTGGATTGACAAGTAGCTGGTGAAGGCCAGAGGGTACAATAGTTTAAATATTGTGATCACAAAGATAATGGATTAATTTAAATTTAAGGCTTATCAACCTTTTGCAGGTTATTTAAAGCCATAAAATATTTTTAGATTGTAAAGTTTTTTTGGGTTTTTTTTAAGATAATAATGGTTTAGTGATACAAGTCTTACTAATTGACCTATAACTGCGGGTTTGTACTTTTCCTAAGGTTATTTATAAGTAAATAAAATGAACCCAATGTGAATTGGAACTAAGCTCTTCAATTACGAATATTCATTACACCACCTGCACATCCAAGCTGACAGCTCCTGGTATTCCCAAGCAGTCATCCATCTAGGTACTGACCAGGCTTGACATTGCTTAACTTTGCTGATCATACATGAACCAATGTTTCAACGTGATGTTGCTATAAACCTGCAACAGATGAGCAAATAGTCCACATGTAAAAACTCCTCATCCCAGAATTTTAAAGGCAGATTCCTTTTTCTAATTTGTGTTTATTGAACTTAGAGAGAAAAACAAAGGAATTAGAATAGTTATTAAAGTATGTTGAAGATTTCTGATAAATTTGAGGCACTTTTGGTTTCAATTTTAATCTTTCTTTGTGTAATATAATTAAATGCCTTTTCTTTTTTCTTCTTCTGCTTTATTTTTCAGTAAATACTTATATATTTATTTAATACTTTCATCTTTTTAGGCTAGTTTTAAGAAAGACAATCAGCTACCTCCAAAGAACTTTGAAGACCACACAAATTTGCCTCAAACATATAATGAAGATGGCTATAATGGACATGCCTTGGATGACCCGAACCATACATGGCCAAGGAAACAGCGGCCGAAGAGCTGGACTTCTCCATCGACATACAGTGCTCAATCTCCCGAATGTGTCGAGGAGAGGAAAAGGTCTTCGTATCATTTAGAGTCAAATGTTGACATGGAACACAATTATTTTGACTCTATCTCGCCGTCCTTGATGAAATCTTCACATTCAGCCATGATGGACATGCCTAATGTAAGTGACAGTGCCAGTGAGTCGAGAAGTAATTATGTTTCAATGGATAACATACCCGCCTATCAGAGGATGCCGGACGCAGCTAGCCGCGATGGTCACATTGCAAAACCTCCACCTTCGCAAAGTCAGTCAGCAGATGCAAGTGGAGGAAAAAACAGCTGTGACAATAACAATTACAGGTCACGAAATGGTAAAGATTTTCTTTGTTTCTTTAAACTTTTTAAATTTTATTTTCAGTATGACATAAAAGAATTATTACAGAAACATTCTGTTCTGCCTTCCATCAACATGGCTGGTGCTGACATCCAGGAAAGTGACTCATTGCATCTTCTTGGGATAATGAATTGAAAAGATTATATTGAATCAATTGCTAGGTCTACTGCTAGGAAAGTTGGTTCACTGTGTCATACTAGACTATTTTTCATACCAGAATATAAATTATACATTTATAAGTCTCTCATTCATCCATGCATTGAATATTGCTGCCACATCTGGTCTGGTGATTCCGCTATGTATTTAGAGCTTCTTAACAAAATCCAAAGAAAACTCTGCAATGTTATTGGTCTAAAGTAAAAGAATTATTACAGAAACATTCTGTCTTGCCTTCCATCAGCATGGTTGGTGCTAACATCCAAGAAAGTGACTCATTGCATCTTCTTGGGATAATGAAGTGGGAAAATTATATTGAATCAATTGTTAGGTCTACTGCTAGGAAAGTTGGTTCACTGTGTCATGCTAGACTATTTTTCTTGCCAGAATATATCTTATACATTTATAAGTCTACCATTCGTCCATGCATTGAATATTACTGTCACATTAGTTCTGCTACTTTTTATTATGTATTTAAAGATTCTTAATAAAATATAAAGAATCTGCAATGTTATTTGTCCTGACCTGACATCTTGGTTTCAGTCACCTCAATCATTTTATCACCAATATAACATAACTTCCCTGTGCCTTTTTATAAATATTTTCATGGTAATTGTTCTGATGAGCTTTTTTCTTTGGTACCACAATTTTATGAATTTAAGCACAGTACTAAATTGGTAAATAAATCTCATTTTACGGTTGAAATGGCTAGCTGTAACCATAAGTTCTATGTTAACAGTTTCTTCTCTTGCACTTCTTGCTTGTGGTATCCTTCTGGCTTTTTACTTTCCAGTCAACTTTAATCTTTAAAAATTTAAATTCATTGTCAGACATTATCTTTTTTGTCTTAATTTCTTGTTCTCTTACTTTAATGTTTTTTTTTTCTCTAATTCTTTCACACTTGGTAGCTCCATGCATCTTAGTTGCTTTATTGCCTTGCTTGGCATGAAATGATGATCAATTTTTCTAATTGATTGTTATTACATTTATAGATGTATAATAGCTATATAAGTGCCAATGTCAGTGTGTCACTGTGTCACACTTTTTCAATTAAATAGACACAACTCTAACTTTCAGTAGCTCATATTACAGAAATTTTTGATTCCCAAGTTCTTATTACTGTGATATTTATTTATTTATTTATTTATTTTTTTTTTTTTTTTTGCAACAAAACTAGGATCACAGAAATAACTACCTATACTTCAAACTCTGATATAAACATAGGTAAATATATATCAATGCCTCTTAAGAAGTTCATTAATAGCATTCTATGTCACTTGTAGGCCAGAACAACAAAGCAGACAAATTAACTACCATGTGAATGTTGATAAAATAACTACCATGATGCCATTCATGGCGAAATTGTGACAACGTTCTCCAATCATTCATCACTCACTGCACCTATGATGACATCCAAGGTTGAGATACACTCAACCTTGGGTGTCATTACAGGTGCAGTGAGCAATGAACGATTGGAGAATGTTGTCACAATTTCTCCATGAATGGCATTACGGTAGTTATTTTTTTATTTTGCATATACACCCAACTCGCTGTGTGCACAGGTTTGTCTTCTTGGCCATGATCGCTTTTTCAAAAAAAAAAAAGATGAAGACAGTTGTTTTTCAAGACTCTCTGATTGGGAAATAGCAACAATACGATTTCTCACTTAAATGTGGGATCCTTAAGCTTCTAGAGGTGGGCTGCTATCTTCCGAACTCCACTGGCCTCCGTGACTCCTGATTCCTCAATACCAGTCCTTCTGCCACTGGGCAGTTCAAACATCTCTGTTCACTTACTGACTTCTCTCAAGGTTGGACTCACTTTTTTGACTTCCTGCCTCACTCTCTTTATATAGATAATCCTGGGGTCCCATCTCTTCCATCCACTTGTCTTCCAGAAGATTTTGAGACCACCCGAAAACTGCATGTGTGGTCAAATCTTCAAAGGACTACTTTCATAAGTGTCTAAAATCATTTATAAAATATTTGTTTCCCAATTCAAAGGCAGCTGTATGCTCCAAAACACTGACACTTAAATATGCTCAAAGATGGACTGGAGGCAAACTTCCTATGAAACTCAGATAACTAAGTGAACTTAAGAGAAATTATCTCCTTATCTTCTAAAGATATCTGAGAAATCTTGTTACACTATATGCCAAACTCTGATATAAACATATGTAGACAACATCTCTGAAGAAGGTCAGTAATAGCATTCTATGTCACTTGTAGGCTAGAACAATAAAGCAGACAAATTAACTATCAATTCATGTAAGTCTTCATGAAATAACTACCTATATGCCAAACTGTAATATAAACATAGGTAGACGTATTATATCATTTTCTCTGAAGTTCAGGAACAGCCTATAGGTCAAACAGTGATATAAACATAGGTAGACATATTATGTCTCTGAAGACATTAAGTAATGGCATTTTATGTCACTTATAGGCTAGAACAATGAAGCAGAAAAATTAACTACCAATTCATGCATGTCTTGATAAAATAACTACCTATATGCCTAAATGATATGAACATAGAGATATATCAATGACTGTGAAGACGTTGAGTAATATCATTCTCTGTTACTTGTAGGCTAGAATAGAGCAGGCAATTTAACTATCAATTCATGCAGTTTATAAAATAACCACCTATATGTCAAACGCTGATATAAACATAGGTAGATGTATTATAGTGATTTTCTAAGCCCGGCTTAGATGTGGCACAAGGCCAAAAGTATGGGGCACCCAGTGAGGATCGACTAGCAAGACAAGCTTTCTAACCATTACACCACACCGAGGTGCCCTAAGGTAGATGTTTTATATCAGTGTATCTGAGGACATTCAGTAACATAATTCTATGTTGTTTGTAGCCTAGAACAATGGAGCATACAAATTAACTGCCAATTCATGCAACTGTTGTAAAATAAGTATAAGTCTGATATAAACATATGTAGACATACCATTGTCTCTGAAGAATTTCAGTAACAGCATTTTGTCACTTGTAGGCCAGAACAATAAAGCAGACAAATTTACTGCCAATTCATGCAAGTCTTGATGAAATAACTATCTATATGCCAAACTCCGATATGAATATAGGTAGACATATTATATCAATGTCTCTGAAGAATTTCAGTGACAGCATTCTGTCGCTTGTAGGCTAGAATGACAAAGCAGACAAATTAACTATCAATTCATGTGAATGTTGATAAATTAATTAGGATATAAACATAGGTAGATATATCATTGTTTCTGAAAAAGTTCTGTAACAGCATTCTGTGTCACTTGTAGGTAAGAACAATAAAGCAGACAATTTAACTACCAATTCATGCAAATCTTGATAAAATAACTACCTAGGCAACAAACTCTGAACATAGGTAGAGGTATTATATCAATGTTTCTGAAGAAGTTCAATAAGGTCTCTTGCTCTGCTGATTAAGTGTGGTATGAGGAGAAAAAAAAAAAGCTGTGATGAAGCTGTAGAAAGAGATTCTCTTATTGCAGGACATGCATCTGCTGTGACAAGACATTGGTTATTTTGAATAGTCTGTCTATATTCTACATTCCAACCACCTGAGGAAGGCCAGAGCATACATTTGCCGAAACGTAATAAATATGGCAAGAAAGATGAGGACAATAGTCTGAATAATGTAAATAATGTTATTTTGAATAATTTGTAGTTTTAGTGTCTATATCATCCATCCTTTTTACCAAATTTTGCTCCATCTATTTTCTCTTTCCAAACCTTAAAAGGAGTTTGAAAAAGGGAATATTTATTTGGAGAGAAGGGTGGATGCTTCAGAGATAATATCTACAGAATAGTATTTCAATTAGTAGACATCAGAATTTTTTTTTTTTTTTTTTTTTGTCTCAGTGTTAAAATGTTGAACTGTGAGAGGAACATTGGGAATACTATGTACATTTTATTGATCTTTCTTGGTTGGATTGAAAACTTTTCAGCACCCCCATATTTATAGGGGTCTTTTTTTAATCATTTCACCCCAAGCAAGGTGGAAATACCACTAATATACAGGGGTCACAGATTGAAAATTAGAGAAAAAACTGAGTATAGGGAGGATTGAGAAAAGGACAAAAGATGAATGGGGTTCAAAAAGATAGATGGCGATTGATGTTGCATTTAAATTTTTGAAGATTGTAGTTATCATGGAAGCAAGTAAACTGAAGGGAGTTTCACAGAATATATAAATAGTATAATATTTAAGCAGAACAAAGATCATATATGCATCGGTATTTTCAAATGCATTTTCTTTGCCATAAAATGAAAAAAAATTATTCTATTACAAATAGGAATTTTCAGATTTTATATGGAATATATATTTTAATAAGTACTTTTTTTCAAGGGAGATTGATAGAAAAAATGTAATACTTATAATTTAACTTTATGTAAGTTAAAGGTATTGCATTTTTCTAATAAATCAGTGGTCCTTGAACTTTTTTGCTCAGTGCACTCTTTTCACTGTATCAGAATGCCTTGCCCCTCCCTTTCCAAGATTGTCCGACTCAAAAAGTGTATTCCAAATAATATTGCATATATTATTGAAAATCTTCATTCTTTTCCATATTAGTTCATATGCATGGATTATTGTTATAGAGGAGTTTTTTTTTATATTCATGATGAGCTCCAAATTCTGTAAGTAAAAAGGAATAAATAGTAAAGGATCTCCTTTCCAAAACCCTGCAATTTCCCCTGGGAGGAAATTCCCCACTGATTGAGTGTCACTGTTATAAATAATATCACAAGATAGGAAAAGAATACTGTAGACTTCACTTTGTTAGTACACACTCCACAGTATCCTTTAATTATTTTATGATATTATGTTTCTTAGATTGGGGATCACAACAAATTAGTCTTAATAATGGATTTTTGCATTTGTGTGTACATATAGCTGGTTTATGACTATAAATAAATTTATTTTTGATAAAATTTTAATGATTAAGAAATTCTTGGTTGCAAAATTCTCTTGATAGTTTTTTCATTAAAAGAAACAGCTTTTTATTCAACAGGATTATTATTACAACCAATATAGCTAAAGAAATCTGGCGTCTCTGCTTCAAAAATTCCTTTAGCCTTGATATAGATTTAATTATATATTACATGCATCAATAAATGACATTGTTATTTTGGATCAATAAACAGAGTATGCAAGAGAAGCCTTTCATTTCATACTACAAATTATATAGAGAATATTCTTGCACATATTGCATTGAATATTGTTATCACATCTGGTTGAGTACTTCTATTTATTTAGACTAGAGACTATTGATAAAACACATAGAAGAATCTGCAATGTTATTGATCCTAACTTGGCATCTTGTCTTCACTCCCTTTCTCACTACTGTAACATAACTTCCCTTTTCTATAAATACTTTCATGGTAATTGTTCTGATACTTTCTATTATTTAAGCACATTACTAGATTGGCAGCAAGGTCTCATCCTTTTACAGTTGAAATGGCTAGATGTAGCTGTAAGTTCTATGCTAACAGTTTCTTCTCTCTCATGGTATTACATCCACAGCCTTATAGATTGGTGACAAGTTCTCATCATTTTACAGTTGAATTGGCTAGATGTAGCTGTAAGTTCTATGCTAACAGTTTCTTCTCTCTCACGGTATTACATCCACAGCCTTATAGATTGGTGACAAGTTCTCATCATTTTACAGTTGAATTGGCTAGATGTAGCTGTAAGTTCTATGCTAAAGTTCTATGCCTTATAGATTGGTGACAGTTCTCATCATTTTACAGTTGAATTGGCTAGATGTAGCTGTAAGTTCTATCTAACAGTTTTTCTCTCTCACGGGTATTACATCCACAGCCTTATAGATTGGTGACAAGTTCTCATCATTTTACAGTTGAATTGGCTAGATGTAGCTGTAAGTTCTATGCTAACAGTTTCTTCTCTCTCATGGTATTACATCCACAGCCTTATAGATTGGCGGCAAGGTCTCATCATTTTACAGTTGAATTGGCTAGATGTAACCATAAGTTCTATGCTAAGTTTATTCTCTCTCACTATCTGCTTGTGGAACTCTTTCCCAGCTTCTTGCTTTCCTGTCAATTTTCAGTTTCAAACATTTAAATTATCTTAATCCCTGGTCTTTTATTGCTTTCTCTCCTAAGTAACATTTTTTTTTTTTTTTTTTTTTTTCACTCATATCCTCTCACATTCAGTAAACCATTGCATCTTGGCTTTATTACCTTGCTTGGGGTGAACTGAATAAAAAAAAATGGCAGAGAAATTTTTACTGATTAAAGAACTATTTAATGACTGTATTCACAAACTATCCATTTCACATATCTACAAAAATTCATTAGTCTACCATTCTGATTTTCAAATGGGGTTCATATGGACCCTGGGGGTCTACACAAAAAAATAGAAAATTTTTAATTTAGTCAATATTTTAGTGGTTCATAGAACAATTTCACTTAGAAACTTTGAAATTTCTATATTAATCTACACCATATTAAAATACTAAAAATAGAAAAACAACTCTAAAACTAGCAGAAAATGAGATCAAGTGATGTAAAGTCAGCATCCCTTTTTACTCTACCAGTTTCGATTGTGAAAATTGAATAAAAACTGAGAATAATATATAAAGGAAGCAAAATTTCTTATAATTAACAATAACACATTTCTAAAAACATTTTTTTCAATTTACATCTATATTTTCGTTGTCCTGTTATTACCGAGAAGTAAAAAACAAAAACAAATCTATTTCCATACCTGATGATGTCTGTATGCACAGATGAAAGCTTGTATAAAAAAAAAAAAACTAAAAAATGACCTTATGCAACTGGAATTTATAAACAGGGATCATAACATTCATCTACAGGTTCAGGCTTAATGTACTTTATTAAAATTGTTTGCGAAGATGTATTCTCGCCATTTAAATCATTAACTTCTATATCTGTTTTTTGTATGAATGATTCATGTAATGTAAATTGAACTGCACCACATACCTTATTATATATATATATATATATATATATATATATATATATATATATATACACACACGGGAAAATTATATAATTATAATTTATTATATAAATTAATTTAATACATTAATAATAATATCAATTTTAAATATTTTCATTAAATTAGTTTTACTTTAAAATAAAGCATATACATTTACTATTCCTATAATACAATTCCTAAACTTATCTATCTATTAGTAAAAATAAAATACGCATTTTTTTTTTCATTGAATGGTTATGGGATTCTGCCAAGAAAATTAAGAGAAAATGTGTTCCATGGGTAAGAAAGATGTTGGACCACTGGTCTAGCAGATAGAATTTCACCACTTTTGATAAAAATTTCAAATTTATGAGGACAGACTTTGCTTTTTCTATGAGTCACAAAACATTATGCATGGGGGTTAACCATTATTAAAACAGTGTAAGGAGTAGTAGTATTTGGGCCGTCTTGTGCTAGTTCAGTACATTTTTTTTAAAGATTGAAAATTTATTGATTTTTTTTTTTTTTTTTTTTTTTTATATATGCTAATATAACAATGTATTGAATTATGGCTAATGGTAGCAACCATAATTTACATATGGGATAAGGAGTGACTAAGCTGCATAACACAATTGTCAGCTAAAAGCATGATTCATTGAAGTTAGGCATAATTAAAAATAATGTTGGTCTTCAGTCATTCATAGTAATAATTTTGTGATTCACAAAAATAAAAACAATCTAGTAGCATTTTACTAGGTATAGCCACAAGTGGATGCTTCCTCAATCACTACAATCTTAACCTTAAGTCTAGGGTTGTTATCTTCCCTACATACCAGGATAAATTGTGCCTCTTGGTAACTCTCTACCTTGAATGACTCTTGAGCCTTGTATTGGGTGAACATCATGGTAAAAAAAAGAAGGTATAGCTTAGTATTTTTACAAGGTATATCTTAGCATTTTTATTAGGTATGTCTTAGTATTTTTTTTTTTACCACATATAGCTTAGTACTTTTTGTTTTTTACTAGTAAAAAAAAGCTTAGTAAATTTCTTTTTTGTACTAGATACAGCTTTGTTTTTTTGGTGGAGGGATTACTAATATATCTTTTTTTTTTTTTTTTTTTTTTACTAGGTAAGCAGCTTAGTTGTTGATTTTTTTTTTTTTTTTTTTTTTTTTACTAGGTATAGCTTTGTTTTTTTGTTTTTTTTACTAGGTATAGCCTAGTAGTCTTTTTTTTTTACTACATATAGCTTTTTTTAATAGGTATAGCTTAGTTTTTTACTGACATTACTGATAAAAACAACTAGTGTTATAAAAGCACTATGTACAATGCAGAAAAGGTTTGTTCTGTGAGTGAGTAACTAAATATTGAGTTTCACTGATGCTCTAAAATTTAATAAAATGGTACATAGCAAGTAAGTGGTAAGTGTTTAACAGTGGTATATATTTGAATATTGTTTGTGATTTATCTTCTACCCTTTCTTTATATGATTGTGTTCAGCCAATGTCATCCCTGTATCAATTTAAACTGATACTTTTATGTTTTTAAATTATAATTATGGAGTATAATTTTGGAAAGTGAAAATTTTACAGAAATATCTTTGAAAATTTCCAAGTTTTCATCTGAAATCAAGCAAATAACAACTTTAAGCAAAATTGTCAGAAACTTTAAGAAAAGTGTCAGTTTCAACTGGTATGACCAGGAGAAGATATGTTAAAAATGCTTTAGTAATTTCTAAGTGGAAAATTCAGTTTAATCCATATCCTATGGTGTCAGTTAAAAGTGTTACTTTTTTTTTCCATATATCTAAACTATAATTTAGAAAGTGAAATATTCACTGAGGTGAAAAATGTTGGAAAATTTCCAAGTTTACATCTGAAATCAAGAAATATTAACTTTATCACAATATTAGTCATAATATATAGAAAAAATTTTTATTAGATTCAGCTGATACCAGATGGATATAGGTTAAAAAATGCCTTTAGCAATTTGTAAAAGGGGAGGAGACATCTTGTTGTACATTATTTCTTTCTGGCATCTTATGCATTTATTTCTTTCTTTGAACAAAAATTTTTTTCATAAAATTTCTTAACCTTTTTGGTTATTAACTTACCCAACTTTTGCATGTTTTTTTTTTTTTTTTTTTTTGTGTGTGTCTTTTCCTAAGTGATTTTAAAAATTTTATTTCATGTTTCATTATTCTCCTTTTCTTATCTAATATTATGTCAGATTTTTCTTAACATTGTTAAATACAATGAATTTTTTTTTAATAGAACTGACCACAGTTAAGAAGGGTACACCATTGTATGGACAACCTGCATGGTGGGGAGAACCTGATGATGCAGAAGATGATCCTGCAATCTCAAACAAAAAGTCTTGTGCCTATGAAAAAACAGATCATGGCAGTTGTAAATTATGTAAATATCTTGTATATGCTTATTTTCCAATGTAAACTTTTTTTCACATTGTTTTTTTATTATTTTTTACAAAATCTTTAATCACACCTGTGACTTGTAAAATAAGTATCTTAATTTTAAAATACTTATTTAAAATGCAAAAATACAAGAAAATAATGTAGTAATGTAACTGGAGCTTCTTTTGAGTTAAATTTAAATTTTTTTTTTTTTCATTGATTTTATTGATTTGTTACTCACATTAGCAAAGGTGTAAATTTAGAATTTGTTCAAGCTAATATATTATCTTTGAATGTAAATCTTCTGTTAATATGAAGTCCCAAACATAAAAAACTTAAATTGAAAAATAAAAATTTAGTCAATAAATTAGTTCTTGCTGTCTTTTAAGTGTCCTATATGTTGTAATACAAAGGCAAACACAAACTAAAATACCACTCCTTGTGCTTTGTTTTCAAATACTGCATACATATAAATCTAAAATATTTTGCAGTAGTGAGCTAATTCTTTCATGTTGCTACCACAATATTTCTTGTACAATCCATAACGAAAAAGGTCTTCCTTTTCAGACAATAATATCAAGTATATCATCTAGCTCAATTCATTTCCTGCAATATGAGCCACATAAGTGATTCAGTTTACAATAACCTGTATAATACAAGTGATTCCATATTTTTTATATTCAATTTCTTATAAAAATAAATCTTTTTTTTATGGATAATACTCTTGAAGAAGTCTGTAGAATGGATCAGTTGAAAATATTGTGGTAACAACATAAAAAAATAAAGAATGAGTTCAGTTGTCTTGAAAAACTTGAATTTATTATGATTTTTCTTGAAATTATGTATACTGTAGGAAAATGAAAAAGAAAAACCTTTTGACTATTTCAAGCTCTTCTTTTGTTGAATTTATGTATATATATATATATATATATATATATATATATATATATATTATGATTTGGGTAGATGCTATGGATAAAAATATAATTTGAATTGAAATTTCATTTCATATTTTAAAAATCTTTAATTATTCAAATATTTGTATGTATATATATATATATATATATATATATATATATATATATATATATATAATTCACTTTTAGATTTATATCCATACTATCTTTTGATATTGAGTACTTTATTCATACTTTTAAAACAATATTTTTATCATGTGTGCATGTATGTATATATATATATATATATATATATATATATATAGAAATATTTTTTTTTTGTTTCATACACGCCGCAAATATTTGAATCGTCACTTATTTGGGTTTTAACTTTTTTATATATATGTACATATGTGTATATCTCTGTGTCTGTTTATATGTATATATGTGTGTGTATATTTGTATGTATATGTATGTATGTGTATATGTGTGTAAGTGTGTATATATGTACGTATGGAGGTGTTTATGTATGTATATGTATAGGTGTGTATGTGTACTTATGTATATACATGTTTATATGTGTGTGTGTGTATGTGTATGTGTATATATGTGTAAGGGTGTATGTATTTGCATGTATATATATACATGTGTAAAGGTGTGTATGTATTTGCATGTGTATATGTATGTGTATATGTGTGTGTGTGTATATATATATGTATGTATGTATGTGTATATGTGTGTGTGTATGTATGGGTATATGTATATATATGTATATGGATATATATGTATATATATGTATATGGGTATATATATGTATGTGTATGTATATGTTTGTGTATGTATAAGTATGTATGTATGAATATATGCATGGGGTATATATATATACGTGTATATGTATGTGAAAAGTGTGTGTATATGAATATAGATGAATATGTATGTATGTGTATGTGAATATATTTTTAATATATATATATATATATATATATATATATATATATATATATATATATATATATATATATATGTATGTGTATGTGTATGTGTATGTATGTATGGGTGTGTGTGAGTACATGCCTAAGTGTATGTACCTACTTGTATTGTTTTTTTTTTTGTGTATTAGTATGTGTTTTAAACATAGAAATATTTGGTCCTTGCTAAATAAGACAATCTTTATATTCACCTTCATATATTTATATTTGATTCTAACCTGAGTCTATACTAATTTTCTCAATTACAAAGCGGCCCTTTTAAGTAAACACAATTTTTTTTTTTTTTTTTTTTTTTTTTTCCCTCTCTCTCCCCCCCCCTTTTCTTTTCCCCCCTACTTCCTATCCTAACTTCTAATTGTCTGTGATGTATGTATGTCACCACGAAATGTATCTTTATGCATTAGACATCCGTCGACTTTTTTCTCTCTTCTTTTTTAAATTCCCCACCCCACCCACATCTCCTAGTATTTCTCTGTCCTCCTCCTCATACTTACTCTTTTCTAAATTCGTTTTTGATTTCCGGAGTTGTTTTTTCTGTTTTCATTTTGAATTTGTAGGTCTGATGATTTGGATCGTATTTACGATTCCAATGGAATAAATTATGACCATGGAATATTAGTGTTTAAGCCTTTTTATTATATATATATATATATATATATATTACACAACAAAATCCCAAAATTACCTCATATGGGGTAATACTATTGTCATGCTCTGTTATAATAAATACATTGAGCTCTTTTTGTAATGGCTTCAGAGTCAGGCTTATTGTTCACAGGAAACAATTGTAACTCTATATTCTCCCTGGTTGTCCAAGATGTCTAGTACTGTGGCTGATCAATAGTGATCTCTTCAATCATGGCCTGCCTTATCCCATGTTGTGATTGGTTGATCATAAGGAGGCCAAGATTGATTTTTCACAGGTATCTTAATATTAGGCTGGTCCAAGCAGAGCGAAGTCATACAGTAAAATAGGAGAAAAACAACACTCAAAATATTTGAGTAGATACTCCATTTATTTTTTTTAAACAGAATATTTTGAGAAATCTTAGTAAGGAAAATTGCAACCGCCAGCAGGATTCGATGTGCTTAAAAGACAGTATAAAAACTTGCTTAATCAATGCAAACCTTTGTGACAAAGTTACTTAAAAGTACATTGAATCTAACAATGGTTTCTCTTGCAGGTTTGAATTCTAACAGAGGGCACGTATTTCTTTAATAAGATTTCTCGAATATTCAAACCTGTAGACAAGAATAAATATACTGTTTAAAAGGTAAACATTGTCTACTAAAATATGGGTAGACACTAAAGTGATAAAAATATATATGTATATAAGCATTCATACATTCATATATAGCTAAAAAAATCTCTAAAAAGACTGAATAGAGAAAAAGAAAACTCATTTTGTCTAATGATGGATTTTATCAAGGTACACATACTTTAATACCTACACTTTTCAATAATACTCTTATACTTGTATAACTAAACGAATATGCCTTGTTTCATTATAACTTTAAATTAACTTTAAATTCTTTTACAGCTTCAAAAGGTGGGACTGTATTGGGCATTGCAGCCAGTGATATTTCCCAGCATCTTGAGAATTTTAATAATGATCCCAAATATGCTTGTACATACATGGAGATTTCTTATAAAGATATTGAGTCGGAAAATATAATCGCATGCCGGGGAAGTCTTTCATCTTCAATATCTAAAGACAGTCTAATATCCCCTGATAGTCGGAAAGGTTCCCTTGAAATAATTAGTGACATAGGAAAAAAACAGTCTTCTTCAGAACGAGAATTATCTGTGGAAAAATCAGAACCAGTCAACAAAGTTGTGGATGGAGGGGGCACAGCATTTACAGTGGAACTTGGAGACTTGAAACCACGAAAGTGGAATGCCTCTGGCAGCTTGAGTGAATTCATGCCATCAAAGATTCGTCGAAGCTTTAGAGAGAGAGCTTTGAAACAGTCAACCAAAGATGGAACACCTCCAAAAACTGTTGTAAGTATTCCATTCTTCTTAATTTTGTGCCATGTCTCCTCAGGGCATAGGTGATCATGGCTCTCCACAACTTCCTGGCCGTCTTAATAAATTTCGTCTTTCTTATTTCTCCTAATCCCTGTTCCACCATCCATTTACTCTAGCTCACTATGTTATGCATTGTTTTACTCTGTCTTCAAACTGTCCTGTGAGTAACAGATTTTCCAACCCCTCTTTCCTCATTGTGTGTCCTAGAAACCTCAACTTTCTCTTCCTGATATTAAGTAGATTTCTTTTTGTTTTCGTTTTCTCTAAAACTTTGTTGTTGCTCACATTTTCAGACCATGGTATGCATCCTTCTGTAGAACCACATTTCTCTTGCTTCAAGACACTTCTTCATCTTTGAGGAAATTGTCCATCACTCATTGCCATATATGTTCCTTGTTTCGAGCAATGTTTTTCTGTTTGTTAATACTCTGCTTAGCTTTTGGAAGTAATCCAATAGAGATCTTGAATATTTTTTATTATATTTATTTTGGCAGCCTAAATAATAATTTTTATGGTTTATAAAAATTGAAGGCTTGAATTTGGCAATCTTTGATTATATGAACTCCAAATTGTATTCTTGGTCCTCTCAGAAAGTGGCTTTATTGTGATTGGTTTTTGTGTTATTTCTTTATAATTACTTGTGTGCTTATGGATTTGATTATTTTTTTAATGTTAAACTATTTCAATTACATCTTTTTACTTTTGCAAAATATTTCAACTGTAATTCTATATAAATTCTACTTGATTTGTGTGTTGAGAGATGCACTCTAACCAAAATGTTTGGAGCTGCCTCTTGGGTTTTCAAAGAATTGCCTAAAAATGAAAGGTAGTGTGCCTCTTTCAAAACTAATTTACTAGCTCAATTTGGGCCATAGGAACTTTCTCCAACCCTAAACGGCAAACAAAAGATAAACATCTCCTCCCCAGTCTTTTGAACAGGAGTAGTGTGAACTGGACAATAGGCAAACATTGAGGAAAAAAATAAATAAATAGAAAATAAAATTTCAAAGTGTAAGCAGAGACATTAGAAGTATATAGTTAAAGTAGACTTTAGAAGGAATCTGAAACACAATCCTATACAGGAAACCATGGCTAAACCTCTACTAAGATATACTAATACACTTGCTATCAAGCAATATTCATAATCATTTTCTTTGAACCAGATCAGAAAAGTTAAAAGAATTTGCAATATTATTGGTCCTTATCTGGCATCTTGGCTTCAACCACTTTCTCACTGCTGAATCAGCTTTTTGTGCTTTTCTATAAATATTTTGTGGTAATTGTTCTGATGAGCTTTCATTTAAGCATATTATTAGATTGATTGGTAAGTCTCATCATTTCACAGTTGAAATGGCTAGATGCAACTGTAAGTTCTATGCTAACAGTTTCTTTGCTTGCACTTCTTGCTTGTGGAACTCTCTTCTGGCTCCTTGATTTCTATTCAACTTTGATCTCCAAAAATTTAAATCATTATTTTGTCTTAACTCCTGTTCCTTTATTGTTCTTTCACCATGATTTTTTCTTTTACACACACATTTTCTCACATTCAGTAAACTCTTGAATCTTAGTGGCTTTATCTTGCTTAAGGTGAAATCATTTAAAAAAAAAAAAAAAAAATCAATGAAACTTGGTAATTTTCCTAGTTCTTTGTTTATAGATATAATAGTTTTGTATGTATAATAATGTTTGTTAATATGAAAGATAAAATAGGGTCCAATTGTAATCTGATCCATATTGTAGTCTGTTCATATTGAGTATTCAATACTTTCAGTAGTGTGTTTCAAATGTATATATGTTGGTATGTCTGTGATGATATATTGACTAAAGTTTATTTTGTATATAACAATTATATTGACTAGTTTTAACCTGTGAAAATTTCAGTTTTCTTATTTTAAATAAATCTTAATTCTTAAGTAAATTATTAAACTTATGGTAAATCTTAATTCTTAAGTTAATGATTAAACTTATGGTAAGATCTCTGACAATAAAATATCTGTAGAAATTTCCCTGTTAAATATTTGAGCTTAGCAATTTTAACAAAATATTGAAATAACAATCATAAATATGAATGCTGATCGTTATTTTAAAAAATGAGTACAAATGAAAGGATTTGAAGTTGACAACTTTTTCCATTTCACTGAAACAGCTGTTAAATCCTTCTATCTGCTCTCCTTTCATTCATTCATTTTCTCACTAAAACCAACTATCATTTCTTCTCTTTCCATGTGATCAAAACTTAATAGTCCATTATTTATGAGGTATTAGCAGAAGACACTTCTATCTTGCCTTCTTTCTTTCTCTCACTGAAACCAAGTAGTGTCCTTTCTCCTCTTTCCATGTGATCAAAACTTAATAGTCCATTATTTATGAGGTATTAGCAGAAGACACTTCTATCTTGCCTTCTTTCTTTCTCTCACTGAAACCAAGTAGTGTCCTTTCTCCTCTTTCCATGTGATCAAAACTTAATAGTCCATTATTTATAAGGTATTAGCAGAAGACACTTCTATCTTCCTTTCTTTCTTTCTCTCACTGAAACCAAGTAGTGTCCTTTTCTCCTTTCCATGTGATCAAAACTTAATAGTCCATTATTTATAAGGTATTAGCAGAAGACACTTCTATCTTCCTTTCTTTCTTTCTCTCACTGAAACCAAGTAGTGTCCTTTCTCCTCTTTCCATGTGATCAAAACTTAATAGTCCATTATTTATAAGGTATTAGCAGAAGACACTTCTATCTTCCCTCCTTTCTTTCTCTCACTGAAACCAAGTAGTGTCCCTTTCCTCTTTCCATGTGATCAAAACTTAATAGTCCATTATTTATAAGGTATTAGCAGAAGACACTTCTATCTTCCCTCCTTTCTTTCCCTCACTGAAACCAAGTAGTGTCCTTTCTCCTCTTTCCATGTGATCAAAACTTAATAGTCCATTATTTATAAGGTATTAGCAGAAGACACTTCTATCTTCCCTCCTTTCTTTCTCTCACTGAAACCAAGTAGTGTCCTTTCTCCTCTTTCCATGTGATCAAAACTTAATAGTCCATTATTTATAAGGTATAAGCAGAAGACACTTCTATCTTCCCTTCTTTGTCTCTTACTGAAACCAAGTAGTGTCTTTTCCCCTCTTTCCATGTGATCAAAATCCCAGTCTTATGAACATTTCTTTTCATAACAATTCAAAAATAATTCCACAGATGATTTATTTTATTGATCATAACGGAAATTTTGGTAATTGCCTTACCCTGTTTCTGTTGTTCAATACTGTATGGCACTTTTATTGCAGTTGTCATCTCTTTTTGGCATCTTGGCTGGGTTCAAATTGTAGTATCTCCCCTCATCAGATAAATTGCATTTTATCTTTCAATTATGTCTCTGTCTTCTCAGAGTGCAACTGAAAATATTATTGAGAAGTGCAAGGACTGGGCTATTTTGGGACCTGGGACAGGTGCATGTGCTCAAGCTCCCCATACTAAACTGACCTTGTGTCACATCCTGCCAGTGTCAGGCAGCAAGAAAATATAATCGTTTCTCAGCCTTTTGGCTAAGATCAAAGTGTAGTATCAACTTAATATGATTCTCTCTATCTCTCTCCACTTCTATCTTCCTTTCTTTCTTTCTCTCACTGAAACCAAGTAGTGTCCTTTCTCCTCTTTCCATGTGATCAAAACTTAATAGTCCATTATTTATTAAGTATTAGCAATGCATAATGATTATTCAAAATAATGAAGAGAAGGATAAGCAGAATATTATTATTTGACAATATTAATTTCAGTGTCTAATAAAATGTCATAATAGATTTTAAAACTTCTATGCCTATAGATATAAATTTTTGTTCTTGATATTATAAATGTAATAAATGTTTCCAATTTAGTTGAGATTTAGCGATAGAATGCATTTACTTGAATTTATTTAACGGTCACTTAAACAATTTCTTTTAGATCTATTTTCTTATCAAGGATTAAAACCCATTGAATACTTGTATACTTAAGTATTAGTAATTGTATTTTTTTCTAAGGATACTATAGCTATACATGCAGCAGAGTGTTCTGACTTATCATTTTTTAATTATTATTACTATTATTATTATTATTATTATAATATTATTGTAATAAACATCACAAACATGATTCTTAGACATCAATTTTGAATCATATGGCCTTCAAACCTAAACCTATCATGCAATTGTAGGTTTTTCTTTAAATAGTAGGTTACTAACTCCTGTAATGACTTCACAACATTCTTTGAAGTGTTATAAGTTTGGTGTCTGGCCAAACACTATTATTATTATTTTCTGCCTAGTTAGCTGTTTAGATGTTCTTGTGTTAGTTTTTCTTTTGTTTCTCAATCATTCTTGGCCAATTCTTTTACTTACACAACTGATAATATCCTTTTTTTTACTATTTAAAATTCATGGTAGTAGTTATTTTTAATTTATTTTATTTGTAATGGATTTTAAAAATCTTCACAATTTAGGCAGCCATACAAGTAACATAACCAAAAAAAAAAAAAAAAAAAGAAGTTAACAGCATGTTTAGGTTTATGTGAATATTACTTTAGTCTCATATTTATTTTTATTTAATTGAATTCATTATGGTCATTATTTGTAGCTATTAATTTTTATCCAGGCTGTTGATGTCCTAAAATTTAAGAAAAAACCTAGTCTGAATTTTAAAAGCAATATGAAGATTGTAAGACAAGCACCTTAAATTCATGTATGTACAGTTCAAAATTAGCATTGTAATTATTGCAAAGTTGTATTTTCAGATTTATTCTAATTCACTGTTACCTTGAGGAATAAAGTTATACTTAAAATCAAAATTTAAAATTCTCATCTATGTTCTTTAATCTGTTCACTGAATTTAATTAATTTTATGTTCAACTTTTAGCTTTAAGTTCTGATATTAAGCTGTAGATACTTGTTTTTATAAATCTTAGAATAATTGATAAACATATCTTATATTCTCTCAATAGAATGATGAACTAGATATTTTTTGATAGTTTAGCTTTATTTATCTAATAAATATTTTATTCAATTTTCTTGTTTAAGGCTGAAGGAGATTCCCCAGACAGCAAAACTGAAGAGGTTGAGTTTGCACCTGAGAAAACCAAAACAAAGAACTCTAAAAGTAATCATTCAAGTGAAGAAGAAGAAATTCACGTTAAAAGTAAGACATTTTTTTTTTTTTTTTTTTGTTATTTTATTATTTCCTTCCGGGTCCCAACCAGAGACCTAAGTTCAGAAATGACATTTTCCACTGAACATTTTTGTGAAAAAAGAAAAGATATTTTATATAGATGAAGCTATTCGTAAGGCCTGAGCTATACTTGAGTACAATTTTTAGTATTTCTTTAACAAGAGTAGACTGTACTTTCAGTACAATTTTTAGTATTTCTTTAACAAGAGTAGACTGTACTTTCAGTACAATTTTTAGTATTTTTTAAACAAGAGTAGACTGTACTTTCAGTACAATTTTTAGTTTTAATAAGAGTAGACTGTACTTTCAGTACAATTTTTAGTATTTCTTTAACAAGAGTAGACTGTACTTTCAGTACAATTTTTAGTATTTCTTTAACAAGAGTAGACTGTACTTTTAGTACAATTTTTAGTATTTCTTTAACAAGAGTAGACTGTACTTTTAGTACAATTTTTAGTATTTCTATCGCAGCAGAGAGTACTTGTTCCATTGCGCATGTTTATTCTCATCTAGTTCTTATTTTTAGTACTGCTCAGTTAGTGCTTACTGTTTTCACGGCGTCCAAGTACACACTGCTCATCCCAGGAATTGAACTCACAATTACTGTCACTAAATTATTGTATTCAAATTAGACCAGAGATTCTTTCAATCAGTCTATTGGAATCTTTTCTGTTGTTGTCCTTGTTCTTCTTAGGTAACTTTAACAGTCTTATAAAAATCAATACTGTCAAAAACTACTGACAAAGATGACAATAAATCTATTGAATATTGCTCTGAAATTTTAAATAGAAATTGCAAGAAAATGTTATACCAAAAAGCACTAAATCAAATAAACATCAAAGATCATTGTTTGGTATGGTTTCATTCTTTTACATATAACTGGAAGGTGACCACTCCCACAGTTGGCACTTGGGCATGTTTTGCAGTGTAAGACTTTATTTCTGAATCTCTTATTAATACTTATATTATGAATTTGGTTTTTCATCTATCTTCTTGACTTATCCATGCCCATGTCTTGGGTGTTCTTGAAACCTAATCATTCATTATGCACCATTGGACCCATTTTTCCCCATGTTCATCACAAGACCCTAGTCCAAATTTGCCAACTATTTCACAGTTTCCCTCTTTGCCTACTTTGGCATTAAGGTCACACATGATGATTGTAATTTCTTGCAATTTGCATTGAACCTTGGCATTATCTTCCATAGAGTAAAAATTTTCAATTTCTTCTGTACTTTGTACTGTCAATGCATAAACAGCTATGATGGATATGTTGAAAAACTTTCCTTTTACTTTAACTACAAGAATTCTTTCAGATAGTTGACAGTATCCAATAACACATTTCTTCATGTCTTGGTCTAGTATCAATCCTATTCCTCTTTCATTTTTATATATTTCGCCTGTATATATCATCCTGTATTTATCACCAACAAAATCTCTATTTACTCACCTCATTTCACATACAATAAATTTTTATAAACATTAATTTAGTCTGATGAAATCCTAAAGGATGTAATGTGTCACACAAATTTGTATATTAAAATTCATGCAATACAAACCTATGAGAGCCACTCAAGGTAGTTTTTCTGAATGCATTGTTTTATATCAGTATAAGGGAATGTAGGAAGTGAGGATAGGTGATAAAAAGGATAGTTAATGACTGTAGTGTTCAAAGAAGCATCCAAGCAGGACTCTGTTCCAAAAGCAGCAGTTCATGCTTCATCTAAGAATAATAACAAATCAATATAATATTAATAATGCTAATATTATTTAGTGGTGTTGAAATAATATATCATTCTTAGCTGCAGTGTCTTACTTTATCCATTCTTTTTGACTGCCTCTGTTTCAGTTTTTCTTTTATGTTGTCATCTTATAAATATCTTGCTCTGTTCATTGTTTATTTTTTATTTATTTTTTTTTTTTTAGCAAAAAAAGAAAAAGACATTTCTCCTGGGGTCAAAAATGGTAATGTGCCATTTTCCCATTCAAAAGCTGCAAACCATCATAATGATTCTGAAGAACATACACCACCTGCTTGTTCTGGTGCTGCTTCATTCCTTATCAACAAGATGTTTCAAGGCACCTCGTCAGGCATGTCTTCTGGGACTAATTCCAATATGGGTTTTGAGGACCAGGAGATAGAACAAGATCTTTACTCAGAAGCCAGAGAATACAGTAAGAAGATATTTCAAGAGTCACAAAGTCCTGAATCAAAAGATCTTATTGTTGAGAAATCTACAGAAGACCAGCCACTGGAAATAGCTGAAGATAAAGTCAGTGAAGCTGGAACCTACACTATTGAAGGTGATGTAGAGGCAAAAGAAGAAGAAATGGCAAGGAAGCGGATTGACAATGTATTTGGAATTGGACAAGATCTCCAGAGACCAGTTATTAATGCTGAAACAATTTCTTTAGATAAAAACGGCACTGAGACATCTCCAAATGAAAACCTTTCCCCAGAATATTTAAAGAGCTTTGTAAACAATACCTGTTTAGAAGAAACTCCCGAAAAAAATTCTGTTGATGATGAAAAGAATATTTCACCTGTAAGTTTTGTTCATTTTTCTTTTAACAGATATTTGGATTTGATTTTTCTTTTTACTTTATAATTTCCATTCTGATTGATTGTAAAATAGATATTTTCTTTCCTCTTCTCTTTTTCCTCTTCTCTTTTTCCTCTTCTCTTTTTCCTCTTCTCTTTTTCCTCTTCTCTCTTCCCATGATAGTTGGTACCACATAAATTAGACATTTTATTTGTGAAATTGAGATGAAATTTAATATTCTTTGATCTATATGGTCATGCTTTTACCAAGGATATGTAAAGCATTACTGCTCACAGTGGACAGCACATTGGCTATTGATCTTTAATGATTTTGACCAAAGTTGTTTGGCTAGAATTGTCTGCAATAACAGACAAGCAACACTGACTCAAATCATATCAACATTTAAGGAAAAAGATATCAGATGTATATTCAGTATTTTTCTTGTACTTTTCCATATCTCATGGAAGTTAATACTAACCAGGGTGCTCCTGTTAACAGCATGGCACCAGACACAGTACCTCATCTAGTGAGTCATTGGGAAAACTTGTTAAACTTAAAAAGGTTGAGTTTGTAGTGATTGGAGAAATATCCATCTGAATATCTGTTCTACAATGTCACATTTCTAGAGAAGCTATCTGAGTGAAAAATTTTCCCTTTACCAATGGAATACAAAGGCAATGTGGGAAAGTTAACCTTCTGTGCATGGCATAGAAGGTGTTAGTTGTGAATATCTGAACTGGAGAAACTAAGGATATATCAGTTGTGCTCTGATATCCAGTGAGTCCATGTGAACATTGTCGAGGTTGATCATAGCAAGGCATGAATTATAAGAACTTGGTCAGTGCAGGTTAGTGGGTGCCAAATGGGTGGGACTTCTTATTTTGACAGCCCTCAATATACTGTATCATTACTTATCTATCTATATATATATCTCTATATATATATATATATATATATATATATATATATATATATATATATATATATATATATATATATATATATATATATATATATATATATATATATATATATATATATATATATATATATATAATAATATAATATATATATATATATATATATATATATATATAATAATATATATATATAATATATATAATATATATAATATATATATATATATATAATATATAATATATATATATATATAATATATATATATATATATATATATATATATATATATATAAATAATGTGTGTGTAAATATATAGAAAATTAGAAAGAACTGACAGATTAATAATCCAAAAGTTCTTTAGTATTTTTATTTTTAAAAAACAGTGCTCAATACACAAGTAGAGCTTATCTTATAATTATTTTTATGAAATCATATTTTTAAAAATAAAAATATATATATATATATATATATATATATATATATTTATTTTAGGATATTAAATAAAAATGTGCTAAAAATTGATACATAATTGCAATCAAGTTTAGACGCATATCAAGGAGATTGTAAATTACTGGCAAGTGAATGATTGATTTCAAAAGCAAAATACCTCCCTTTTTTTTTTTTTTTTTTTTTTTTTTTTTTTTTTTTTTTTTAAATATAGGCTTGACGGCATTACCTTGATCAACCAATTGAAACTGACCTACATTAAATTAATTTTTGGTTCTGTTGTATATGGGAACAAAAGATCCACTGAATGTCCAATACAGTGCTTCATGATGGGTTTGTGACATTGCTAATCTTCCAGAGTCCAATTAGCAATGTGTGACATAGTCTGATAAGTCATGGTTCCAGTTGTTTCAGGCTGATAATAGGGTTCAGATTTTGTTACAGACCTGATGAGTTGTCAACAAGGCAACTATGGAGGTTGGTGACTTCATAATTTTGTAGAATGTGTTCATATGGAATGGTTTGGCTCCATTGGCCTACCTAAACACTGGGGACCACTGTACTACTTAGTAACCATTTATACACATTCATGGATTCAATGTACATCAGCAGAGTAATGCAGAATGTCATCAGGCCCAAACTGTCCAGAATTGGTTTGAGGAGAAATTTGGAAATTTCTGATAAATGGTGGTGAGTTCTATTTGTACTGAGGATCCTGCACCTATAAATATCAGGTAATTCTGGTCAAGATAACAGCTGTCAAGATAACGTGGGTCAACATCTCTCCAAGGCTCTTCTGAATATAAATATAAAAATCTTGTCGGCATTAAATAACCCATGGAGGGGTTAAACAAACCATAAAACAAAACAAACCAAGGCAAAAATACACCGGTGAAACCTGATCTACAAACCTATTTCTTACAAATACTTATTCTATAAAACCTATCTTAAAAATCTTGCTGGCATTAAATAACCCATTGAGGTTGATATGCTATAAAACAAAATAAATGTTTAAAGTCATAAAAATCAGTTGGGTTAATAAATGAAAATTCATTACTACTTTAGAAAATTATTGTGTTATGTTTGGATACAAAACTGAGCAGATATAATTTCAAGGAATCTGACGAGAAAGATTTCACTTAAAGGTATTGCTCGGACCTTGCTTGATCAACAAAGCTTCTTCGTGATAGTCAGTTAAGGCACATCAGATATAACAATATTTTCTTTGCCTAGGGCAACACAGGTTCAAATCGAGTGGGAGAGCACATATTTTTCTTTAATAAGATTTCTTATTCAAACCAGTAGAGGAAAATAAATAATATAAATTATACATTAGTAACTTGGTCCCTTACATATTTAGAATATATTTAAAATGCTATAAAATGATAGATAAAAAAAAAAGTAAAGGTTTTATCGACAGTATATATATATATATATATATATATATATATAAATACATTATTTGTAATTTATATTTAGTTGATAAATTGTCGGTTTGTTTCTTTAATTATTAATGACACTGACTTAAAATAAAATGATCCTTCAAGGGTTGAAACATTTTTAAACAAAATCTTTGTTTACAAAAACGATTCTACCTTTATTCTATAAAATATATAAAGATCACTGTGGAAAACAGAACCCTATGAAATAGGTCTTAGATAATGTGATAACTTGTTTTATAAAATGTTATATGAATTATCTATTTTATACACGTTTAGCCACAATGATGGCCAATAACTGGAATAACTTTCAATATTTGTGAGAAATCATTTTTTAATATAGAATAAAAATAATGTTTCAACAACTAGAAGTAACGTAATCATAATCCTTCTAACGGGTTTATTGCTTTTTTTTTATTTGCTATTATCATTTAGTAAATCATTAAAGAATAATTTGATTGCAAAAGGTTTATTAATTCTTATTGACAAAGCCAAATATTAGACAATGTTACTTGATTAAAACTGACCAAATGGACTAGAAATTGAAATTCATCTGAAACTATAAACTTAACACAACCACATCTACAGCATTTAAAATATTGTAACAGTATAGCCTTTATAAATGATGACCAATGAACTTCTGAAATTAATGCTAGCAGAGAAACTTTGTAGCTTAAAAAAGTTAAAAAATATAGCTTAGCTTCTACTTAAAAAAAATATAGCTTGCTTTTACTATAGTTTGAATAATTGGCTTGGTAGATTAGGTTTTCTTTATAGAGAATATTAGTTTTTAGGTGAAAAATTCCCTTGTATTTTAAATTGATTTATTCATGACAATTTTCTAAATCAGATAATAGCTGTCACAGCTTTTTATTTTATTTTTTTAATAGATTTATATTAATAAATAAATCTGTTGCCTGTATTTTTTGTCTTTGAACTTTTATAGCATGTTATTAAATTGCATAACATTTTGTTGGTTGAAGGATAGGCAATTAATAATTGTATTTGATAATAGATGATTTTATTTTTCTTTCATACTAGCAACCTTATGGAGGCAATATTATTAGTTATTGAATAGTCAAGTCTTTGTAATTATATATTAGTTTAGTAAAATTAACTAATTTTCAACTTCCAATCTTAAATTCTAGTTTTCATCTATAAATTTCCTTACCAAATGCTGAAAATCTTTAATTTTATTAGCAATATTTTTATCAAATTCTGTCAATTTAAAAAAAAAAAAATCAATACTTTGATGAGGGTGGGGGAAAGAGACACCATATTTTTCATATGAGTGAATATCCTACAGCTGTTCAGTTAAAAAAAAAAATCAGTTTGTTGGCTTTATTGCAAAGAATTCCTATAATGTGCATCTTATACTGACAAGTTAAAACAGGGTAGAGCATTGGATTTTAAAACAAGCAGTCCTCATCTTGATAAATAGAGCTACTTATTATAATCTATGTAAATATATTTTTTATTTTTCTCCAAGGACACAACCCAAACACCAATATCAGATACCACAGTTCAAAGTTCTGGAAAAACATCTGTGGATATGGATTATCGACCACATTCAGGTAAGATATTTTTTTTTTTTTTTTTTTTTAAAGTAACAATCAAACAATTTCTCTAAAAATCATCAGAAATAATTTTTTGTGGCATTATCAAATTTGGTGGGGTAAGGGGGTTATAATTTTTTTGGTATTTTGATTTTTCCATATTATTATTCTCCAGTTGGTTATTTATTATATTTTTTACAGCAGTTTACTATAAATTTTCTATGATTTTTTTTTTTTTTTTTTTTTTTTGCCTGCACTTTTTTGTACTTTAAGTTTTTCTCTATAGTTTTGTTTTTATTATTATGTTGTATAATACTAATATTCTTAATTCAATTTTACGCATAATGTGTGGGTGTATTTGGTGGTAGAGAAGAAAAAATTACCAAATAATCCAAAATGGACCCCTGTCACAGCCTTTAGACAAAACACATCACAAAAAATTTTGTAATATACTAATCCCAATAAAATTTCAGCTTAAAGAACAGGGATTGAACTAATTGAAAAATTTAAAAAGAAAAGAAATTTTAATATTCAATTAGTATATTTTAGTTATACAAGAACTTCATTTTATTTGATTATTTTTGTGTAATTAAAAAAAAAATGACAATTTTTTTTTCTATACATAGTATAAGTAAACATCAGTGTCTATATTCTGAATAGATTTTCTATTAATTTTCTTTAAAAAACAAAAATAAGAATGTGTGCATTTCTTAAAATATCATTAAATGTGATTTTGGTCAAGTGATATTGACAACTGCATTGTAATTATCACTTTGTGAAGAAATTCATTGTCCAGTTGTTGATATGGCAATAAACATCAAATGAACCAGCTTCAATTAATGTTATCTTAAATTTATCATACATATGTTATTTAGACCCTCATGCAGTTAAGAGGGATTTTTCTCTGATAAGAGTGATAATCTCATTAGCTAAAAATATTGAACATTTTTACAATTATTTGTTTTAAAGAGCCCAAGTATTTTATTTTGTAACTTTTAACATTTTTCAAATTTTAGATTTCAAAATCATTCTCATACAACTTGATTTTTTTTTTTTTTTTAATTTAATTTTTTAGCTTTAAGAAGTCAAAATTGGTAAATTTAATATAAAAAAACTATAAATAACAATGTTAAAATTTATTAATCATCAAAATTAATTTATTAATCATCAAAACCTGTATTGAGATATTATGAATAAAATATTTATTACACTGGTAAATGTGTGCTTTTACTTCTCAAATTTTGAAATATGTCACATTTTGTTGTTGACTGATCATTATTCTTTTTATTATTTAATGTGATAAAACCCTTCAAGAAAAAGAATCTTCTTACCCCAAAGTGAACTAGTAAATTAGTTTTGAAAAAGGCATGAATCCTTCAATTTTTAGGTAATTCTTGAAAATTTATAGTCTGGCCCCAAACTTTTGGCTTACAATACAGAGTGCGATGGATAAATTGTCATCTAAATTACACAAAAATGAAAATAACACTGACAAGTCATTTGAACAGATATATTTACCAAAATTACACAAAAATATCTTGAAATATTAAATAGTAAATTTATTCAATAAAATTGCCATTGGCTTCAACCACATCCTCGAGATGACTTCATAATCTCCTGCAACTCTTTGAGACAGTTTTTTTGTTTAAGTTGGTCAATGCTGGCATAATACTTGCCTTCATTTCATCTTTGGTGCCGCAATGAATTTTGTTGGTCTCTTGCTCAGCTGCACCTCACATGTAATAATCAAGGGGGTTGCAGTTTAGGGAGTTAGATGGCCAGATGTAAGGGAGGATCTGGTCATAGAAATTGTCTGACAGCCATGACTTGGTTCTCCTGCTTGTATGGCATGGTGCAGAGTCCTGTTGCCAGACATAGGGTCTTCTAGCAGCCACCCTATTGACCCAGGGTAGCACTACCACCTGAAGACACTTGATGTAGATCTCTATATTAAGTCTGAGGCCTTCACCAACAAATTTGTGAGTTCTTTTCTTATCAGAATGATGAAAGTGAGTTTTGCGTGTTGTTGTACCTTTGTAATCACCATTAGACTCATCCAACTTTTTCCAAATCCTCTGCACTGTCCTCAGATTGACACTCAAATACTCAGAAATGTTTGTATTGGAGCTTCCAGCACAAATGCCAAGCAGTACAGTATGCTGTTTCCAAATTTCTGGTGGACTTAATTGTGTTATGGTGCACTTTTTCTCACAGATTGTACCCAACTTACCCTACTATAAGTACAGTTGAAAAAAACGAATGGTATGCATGCAGGAAATTAAAAATATAAAATGGCGACAGTTTACCCATCGTGTGTGTGTTTATGTATGTGTTTAGCACTAATTTCTCACACAAATGTTTTATATGCCTCTGACTAAGAATCGCTAACTTAAATAATAAAAATATATTTTGTTTGTGTGTGCATTCATACTAAAATGACAATTTTTAAGAGTATTAAAAACTGCTTTCCTAAAATTACATGTATCTTAAAAGTTAAACTCAATATTTTTGTATTCATTGTCAGAATATGTATTTTAATATGTAAAACAAAAATACCAAAAGTGACTATATCTTATTTGTAGTCCATTTCAACAGATACTGAATTATTCAGTATAAAAAGAAAGAAAAGTTTCAGTTAACTTTTATCATAAGTTTGCTATAAAATAAACAATGTGTTGGTGTAGAAATAGGTACACTGTCAATGGACAGTAAAATTAAAGGGATTTATTTAAATTCTGAAATAACTGCATTTCTGTCAGAAAACATTGTCTAAATTAATTTTAATTTGCTAAAAATAAATAAAATAAAATCCAAGTAATTATTATTTTAATTTTTTTTTTCATTTTAATTTTTTTGGCTTGCGGAGTTGTTTAAAAATTTCATATACAGTCTCTAATTTCAAATATTCAAATTCACATGCATATGTATGTATGTATGTATATGTATATATTGAGAGAGATAATTTTAAGATTTTTAATCTGTCTATTATTAGCATGAAACTTTAAGAGAACTCATTTATTTTTATTGCATTAAAAATCATCAAACTTGAAGTATTTTAACTAATTTCATATACTGGTATATGTGTGTGTGTATAATCAAAGAATTTTTAACTTGTCTTTTAAAATTTAATGTGGTGTATATTTTAGGTCAAATATATATATATATATATATATATATATATATATAAAGAAATATAGTCTTAAGGTGTGCTATATTTATGGGATAAAGTGCTCAATATCAGAGATGAACATAGAAGTCAACACTTGACAGAGGCGACAGTCTGTTTCATGCTATATGCAATCGTCAGGCCACGATTGCATATAGCATGAAACACTGTCGTCCTCTAAGTGTTGACTTTATGTTCACATTTATATATATATATATATATATATATATATATATATATATATATATATATTTGGTTGGATATGTTAGCTCTATCTCTGATATTGAGCGCTTTTCTAATAAGTACACATATAATATATAAATAATTATACATATATATATTTATTTATATTTATATACACTTTTCACACACACACACATATATATATATATATATATATAATAAAAAGGCTTAAACACTAGTATTCCATCCTTTTTATTATATCCTTACTCTGTCCTGGACATTGAGTTCTACCTGGATTCTATCCTCTCGGAATTTTTTATTCAAAAAATATACATATATGTGTATGCACCTATGTATATATATATATATCTATATATTTTGCATATGCATGTGTATATTTACCACTAATATTATCTATCTATATATATATATATATATATATATATATATATATATATAATTTTGGTACAGACATTTTCTTTCTCTCTCTCTCTCTTTCTCTTTCTCTTTCTTTCTCTTTCTCTCTCTCTTTCTTTCACTTTCTGTCTCTCTTTCTTTCACTTTCTGTCTCCTTCCCTCTCTCTTTAAATTTTACTTTTACATATGGTCTTTCTTGAACCATTTTATCAGAACATATAGCCAGTGTCATTGTAGGTAGTTGTTTTAGTAAATTTTTTTTAATCTCCTGGTCATATATCTCTACTCTCCAGCCTTCCTTAAATGTATATCTTGGAAAGTGTACAGCTGAAATCTCATCTAACAAAATTCAGGCAATAATGTCATTTTAAAAGATTTTCTTTCATTTAAAACAAAAGAGAAAAATACTTCATATTGTTCTACTTATTACCAGCTTAAGATTGTAATTTCACAACCAGATCCAAAAGCTAAAAAAGCTATTATTATTTTTATTCATGGTCGAATAAAAAAAAAAAATGTGAGTAGTCACACATTTTTTATATTGACTACTTATTCTGTAGTATTTTTGAAGACCACTTGTATAGTGAATTCAGTTTTAATAGGTGAAACTCCTTAAAGACTTAAGTAAAGTTTAGTAAATATTTATTTTGTATTGTCTTGTTACTATAATCATCTTAATCATAATTTATATTTGACTAGTCTCCACCCAAAATTTGCTTTTTTCCAGAATCGGCTGGCTCATCTCCTTTAATATCAAAACCTCCAATTGGATCAGCTAGGAAGCGAGCTGGTACAGGTCGGAAACTGCCTTCCCTGCCTCCAGATAATAATAGTAGTCCTAGTAGCACAAGTAGCAAGTCTCAACAACAAATAGTGAGTACACCCTCAAGTAAGAAAAATGAAAAGTGGATTGTTGCTGACATTAGTAAGAAACCAAAGAACCTCACCTCTTCCACTCATGGAACAAAAAGCCAGAGAACAAAACTAGACTCTGATAATGATACTAACATTTTGCTCAAGAATACAGAGATGGCAATGGCAGCCTTAGAAGCAAGGGTCACTTCTAACAACCTGGCCGGGACGGATGATTCTGAATCAGACATTTCTTCAAGCACAAATCATCGAGAAGGTATGTTTCGATCCAGGAACAGAAGTACTGGGGAGCGACCTGGAAGTCGGAAATCATCGCTTTCTGATAGTTCTAAGGTGCCATCAAAAAGTTTCTTGTCGTCAAAGGAAAGGAACCCACAAGTGCAGAGAAATTACTCAAAAGGTAGTGAAAAAGGGTCTGTTAGTTCGGACGTGACTAGTGAGTCTGAGGCCTTGGAGACATTAAGTAACACTTCTGATTTTAGTCTTGACTGTGTTAGTGATGGTGAAGGATTTAACCGGCACGGATCTAAGGGCAAAGGCGGGATTAGTATGACTCGGCCAAACCGGGCATTCCAATTGAGACAAGCTAAAGCCCGAGGAACTGAAGCCACTGATAAATTACCACCACATTCTGGTGGTTCATCTTTACATATGCCAAGTGTTGTCTCCAAATCTAGTGCCGGTAAAGTAAAAAGAGTTAACTCGATTACTTTACCTACAGAAAAGCAAATAGATTCCCGAAGAATAACATCTAGCTCTGGTTCTGATTCCATCCACAAAACCACAGAAAGCTTAAAAATTGGTTCCAATTCTAATTTCATGAGAACTGATGGTGGAAGGTACAGTCTGAGAGCTACTAGATCTGCATCAACATCTTCTGCAACAAAACCCACTGTTGATCACCGTTCAAGAACTGATTCAAAGTTAAGTAAACCACAGCTGAAGTCTGCTCATAGTACACCAGGATTAAATATCGTCAGTCTAACCAGCAAGAGCCTGTCTCAGCCAGTCAGCCGGTCGAACTCTCCAAGGTCATCTTCCGATAAAAACAGTTCAAAGAAGCGAAAAGAATTTTCGCAACGGAAACAAAAATCTTCTTCTGCAAATATACCCTCTGCTGCTCCCACCGAATCAAAGACTTCAAAATCCCAATCCCATGCTGATTCATCAAAAATGCCTGCTAATAGCCGAATGGTCCGATCTGCATCTTTGGAATTATCCAAGTATAAGAACTCAGAAGTTGCAACAGACAAGTCTTCATCCAAATCATACAAAGATGTATCCAGCCTTGGAGAAGATTCTGTCAAGTATGGTTTTGTTCCATACAGTGGGTATAAAACATCCCAAAGCCACCTTCGGCATGAACAAGATGAGTTTGATTTTGGTGATGAAGAAACATTGCAACAACCTAAATCTATACAGGTATTTAATATTATCTTAATTTTTTTTTAAATAACGTATTTTGTCTTTTCTGAATTATATATTAAATTAATAACCCAAAATTAATTTCAGATATTTTATTTGTACTGATGATTTACAAAGTGTATTAATTGCTATCCTTGGAAAAGTAAGTAAAACTAAAAATTCTTTCCAGTTAAAATCTGTTCTGTGAAAGAAATTTTTTTTATCCTTTGAAATTTCTCTTCAGAATTTTTTTTTTTTTTTTTTTTTTTTTTTTTTTTTTTTACTTTTTAATTTTTTTTTGTTATTCTTTTTGTTATTTTTTTTTTTTGTTACTTTAGTTAATAATTGTAGCCATTCTAAGATTTCTAATAGATAATTGATCAAATCCATTTGTTGTTTATGCAAAACTAAATTGCTACCATTTCTTTTTGCATTAAAATATTATAAACAGACTGGTCCACTCATGAAAAATAGGAAAAAGTTTTCTTGGGAATAATATCTGTAGATTACTATTTAGTAGAACTCCCTTAAGCTGTAGCATTTGTTAAAGGCAATTTTTTTTTCTTTTATTATTTAAATGTGGGAGATCCTGTTCATAATACTGTTAGAATATAAAATCAGTCCACTGACTTTTTACAAATATTAGACTAGCTGTTATTTACAAATGTCAAAATTGAAAGTGTCTACATCATTGATATCAGTATATTTTTTTTTTCTGAATTTAAGAAATTTTTTTCTTTTCCTTTCTCACTTTTTTCCTTTTTCTTCCCACCTTTCTCCTATTCCCTCCACCCCCAGAATCACATGCACAAACATTTGGGAATAATTTATCTTAAATGAAGAATAGATATATACCTTTTTATTTATATAATTTTTCGTTCTTTAATTACAAATATGTATATCTACTTTTTCTTTAAAAGAATCTTTTTTTTTTTTTAATCCGTTTTCATATGCAGAGTGATTGGGTTGACATCGTATTATTATAAACAGGATTTGTTCTTCTAAAATAATAAAAAAAAAAAAAACAATCTCATGCTAATCTACAAAATTATTTCTGAAACTTTTCACTATTTTTTATGAAGGGACTATTCAACTTAAGTAATTCCCAAAAACATTTGTGTTTATAATCATGAAAATTATCAGATCATCTGATGACTTCATATTATAAGTATCCATATATTTTTTAACTTATCACCTCATTTGAATGTGAACTATGTATACATTATCAGCTGATGATGATCAGATAATTCCATGTTAATTTAATGAAATAGTGACAGATATTTAAAGTTTGAGTTCATGAACCCAAAGTTCTTTCCAATGAAAGGAATTAATAATACAATTGAGAAAATACATGAAAGCTACAAGAATTTAACTGTTTTTTCAGGTTAGCAGAACTTCCGCCAAAAATACTCTATAGATAACTAGAGCTATAATATTCAAGAAACATAAATATTTCTTAATTTGTTGAATAAAAATTAATTAACAAGAAAAAATTGGTTAATGTTGCTTCCTTTAAGTGTTTTATTTATTCCTGTCAACTCAGTAATTCAGTGTGTATTTTCTTTTTCATTTTTGACAATTCTTTACTTCAAAACAATAATTTGTAAGGGGGTGCTGAAAATTTTTCAGGTGATCAGGGGAGTGATGTACAGAGTGAGTATAACCTTAAGGATAAACAGTTAAATGTAGAAAGTTTTGGTTTATTCTTTCAAAATAAGAAAGAAATGAGAGATAGTTCGATTGCATTTAATAATTATTGTAATTAAATATGGAAAAAGAATTAAGTTAATTCTGAGAAATTTGATAGGTTAAAAGTTCTTAAGGAACAAAATCTAACTTGGAGACAACTTATAATTGATTATAGCCCTGTACCCATCCACTACACTGGGTCAATTTAGGGAAAAATGATAAATTACTTTCTTTGTCAAAAATCAAACATTCTCTCTAAAAGCTCTTGATATTAAGTTTGTTAGAATAATTTTGGAAAAAGGTCTTTCTGTTGCCACCCCCACTCTGCTAAGTTGACCTGTGTGATGTGTGGTTTGTTTATATGAAATAATATAACACAGGTGGAAGTATAGTTTTTGAGAATCAAGTTATCAGAACTCTGTCAAGTGGCTAGCCATCTGTGTGCTTTCAGGAATAAAGGAAACCTTTGAGAACATAAATTAATGGTCATATTGTACTAATAGATAACTAATGAGATGCCGAGTTCTATATATATACAAGTAAAAGGCACACTTTAGGTAGTTCAGCATAGACTAACATAGACACATGGGAGATGTGAGAGAAACAAGAATAGATCATTCCCAACCTTTTGATCAGAGGAAAAATGAACAAATGCACACATGACTGTTGTTCCATTATCACAGTTATGAAGAAATAATTTAGTAAAGATTATTACATATTATTGTTAGGCATTAGAATTTGGGGAAACCACTAGTTTTAAACACATATGATCAACTGCTAAAATAAATTTTATTTAAACTTGTTAAAGTATTTCAGTCTTCTTTGTCATTATTGTAAAACTTCAATCCATCTCTGGATTCATTTTAGTTTTCTGTGACACATGGTCGACTCAGGCTTGTGATGTTTCAACCCTGAGTTTAGGACTTCTTCAGGTATTATCTAAACAAAACATAGGTGGACAGCTCTCTGTTTAGTGACTGGAATTACTGTTTGATGCTACCCACTTACAGCTACATCTGATGTCATGACCAAGGATTCTAGGTATCGAGATTACCATGGAATGACCCACAGTGTGTAGTGTTATATTTAGTGACCAGAAGAACTGTCACACTCAGTCAAAGAAAGAATTTAAAAAAAAAAAAATATCAAGATTTTTTTGTTTATTTGATCAAATAATTGGTGTGTTGATTCAAGAACTTTTCACCACTTTATCTTGTATATATGTATGCATACATACATACATATTGGTCATTATATAAATTATGCAAACTGCTAATTAGTGTATATGCTTAGTTTTTATGAATTTGCTTAGTTTAATTTCCCTGTAATTATAAAATACGGAGTGGACATTAAAAAATAATTTAGAACTCTAAATTCTGTGCAATTACAGGTCACACATTCACTTTTTAATTTTTAGATTATTTCAAATAGGAGAGGGTGATATTTTAATTTTTTAAAACTTATCAATAGTTTCATTGTCTTTATTTTGTTTTTTAATCTTATGAGTGGAAAATTTTGCAGTATCATTTAATGTAATAAAAGACACTAATTATGAAAATAAAAAAAAATGAAATCTGCAAATGAAGATAAATTATATATCAAAATATCATTATCTACTATTTTCAGATGAACGTACAGTCAAAATATTTTTCTCAGAAAAACTTTGGCAATGTTTAACCTTTGTGCACATAAAAAAAAATGAGTGTTAAAAGAAAAGTTGTTCCCTTGACACCGTTATTACACAATTGTTTTTACTCCCTCAGCAATGTTTATTTACAAGCTTATATATATGAACTAAGTACAATGCAATATTTATTTTTTACCATTTTATAAAAATAACAAAATTTGAAAAGTTTTATTAAAAAATTACAAAATTGTGAAAATGATTAAACTAATAACAATGCAATATTTGCAGTAAAAATTAAACATTCTGTATTTATACGCAAGGAAACCTTTGTCCACCCAGTAAATATGCTGATACACATACAAAATACTGAGTGTTTGTGATCTCACCTAAATTCCAAAATTAAAAGAATGTTTGGTTTAAGGGAAAAGATGCTCTCAACATATTTTAGTGAATTTATGTTGCGAGAGCAAATGAAAGCAATGCCTGGGAAATGTGATTTTTTTTTTTTCTTTTTTTTTTTTTTAAATTTATAACAAGTTACACATTTTTATGTCTTTATTTAAATTTTCTTGTTTAGACATTTTTATAAATTTATGAATGAAAAATTTTGCAATATGATAAAGAATAAATATTTCATTGTAGTTGGTGCACATATTTTTTTAATCTTGTAAATATAAAATTATTCTTTTAAATAAACAATCTAATAAATAGTGTTTAACATCTTTGTTGTCAATTCTCAAGAATAAAGAAAATGTATAAATCCACTTTCATATGTCATATTAAAATTCTGATCCGTGCTTTTTAAAACAAGTATTGCTGATGGAGTAAAAAAAAAAATAATAATCATCCTTTTGAAACACTATTTTTTTTGCAGGCATGAAAGTTAAAAATTGCCAAAACTTAATTCTTTAATGTTAATGGAATAAAAACTTAATAGAAGACCAGAGGAAAATAAGTAAACTGAATAATTATAAAAAAAAAAGTGAGGAATTAAAGAATATGTAGTTGAAACAGAAATCGGATTTAAATTTAAAAAAAAAAATTAGTGTTTTCGAATTTGTTTTTATCTTAAAAACAATATATATAGCTATGTCCTATGGGAATTTATTTCCATGTACCTTTTTCAGCTCCAAAATAAGACTTTGGTTTGAAAGGTTTCAAAATATACTTTCTGGTTCTATACATCAATACTTTTCTCTCCTATACTATGAAAACTTCACTTTCTGTCTACTAGTATTGGTTTCTGCTCTAATTTTTATCAAGTTTTACTTTTAATACTTAAATAATTTTTTTATTATGGAGTTCATCTTTGTACTCTGACAAAAATCAATTTTGGTTTTTAAAACAGTTTCTTCTGGTATATTGTGATCAGTTATTAAAAATTCACATAATTGTCTTTAGACATTAAAATTATCTAACATATATTGCTTTATGTAGAAATAAGAGTGGCTCCAACATATTGGTGATGGTTATATTTTAATTTTAAATTGTTTGTTCAAATGTTGGAGCCACTCTTATTTCTATATAAAGCAATATATGGTGACATGGATATAATTATAAAATAAATGTAAATCTCATTTATAGCCCTTAACAATGCTTCTTTATTTGCCATGAAGAATCTAATTGTTAGGAAATAATGTATATTATACATTTGTAAGATCAGATATTATGTACACAAGAAAGTAGCCGTCACAACTAGTTG